AAAAAAAGTTTAAATCTTTTTAAGCTAACATTTTAATAAAATTATTTAGCAATAGCAAAGTTGTCGATAAAATTGAACAAAAATACTTTCTTTTAGTTTTAGATTTTAAACTTAAATAATTATTTTACGGGGGTTTGTTAGGTTTTAAAATTATTCCATAGATTTAAAAATATTTATTAACTGTTAGACGTATTTAAAGTATTTCAGAGTAATTTCGAGGAAACATTTTAAAAATTGGTGAGCGCAAATAAAAAAAAAAAAAAAAGATTAATATTAAAACGTATTCTACTTGATTCAATAAAAAAGTACAGTTATTAAAATTTTTGTAAAAAGTAACTCAAAAAAAATTACTTAATTAATAACAATCGCTTTTTTGTTAAAAGTTACCGAAACTCAACGAAGCGTGCTCAAGAACAGCTACTGAAAAATAAAACAATAGTTTTTTGAATAATTTTTAATAATAATTTTTAAGAATAATTTTTTCGCTGAAATATTTCTTTTATACCTATAAGATTTTTATTCTAACATTTTATTTTATTTTACTAGAAATAAAATTCCTTGTTAACATTAAAAATCTATTCAAAACGTTCGTTTAAGTTTTTTATTAATACGAGTGATTGTGCTTATCAACCGCTTTATGAAAATAAATAAAAGTAAATAAATAAATAAATATTATATAAAATCGCTTGTAAAAATATTAGCTATTGCACAGTTTTTAATTGTACAATATTAAAATTTCCAGTTTATTACTCGCTGACTTTTTAAAAAGAAAAAATAATTATTTGAAAAACTTTAAATTACATATTTAAGAAAAAAAAAAATCAAATATAAGCATATTTTATAATCTTTTTTAAATTTAAGTTATAATGTTTTTTATTCGTTTAGTATAGACAAAACGTGAAAAACGTCGAGAATTATTATTTTTTTAATTTTTTTTTTCAGATAAGTTTAGGTAAGTTTTTGTAGCGCTTTTTTAAATTTTAAAAATATGCCGTGGTCAAATTGTTTAAACATTTTTTTTTGCGTGGTCATATAAAGAACGTGAAATACACAATAAAAAGTTTCATAAACTATTTCAACTGTTTACACTATTTTCTATTCCAGAGCGCTAAAGTGCTGGCTAAACTGAGACATTTAGCCAGCACTTTAGCACTCAAGTCTTTTCACACTTGCCCACATGCCCACAAAAACTTTAGTGAGCACATAAAAAAGTGCTTGCCAAAAAAATTTAAGTGTTTTATTTTAAATTGCAACAAAACTTTTGTGTTCATTTGTTTAACTTTTATGAAAAACAGCTTTTTTTTATTAGTTTAATTTTTAAATTATTTTATCTAGTAATTACTCAAAACATTCTTTTCGCAAATCTTTTGGTTGTGCCTAAAACCCTAAAAATTTTTAACCTGGCCGGGTTTTAGGCCCAAAAGCCTAAAACCCGGCCAGGTTAAAAAATTATTTTTGATTGGATTATTTATATTTGTTATACTAAATTTAAAATTAATAAAAACATTTTTCCTTGTAACTTTTTCTTTAAATTAAAAAAGTATAAATGTATACTATGTAAATAAATGTTATAAACAGTTTGTTTGTTCAAATGCAATGGCTACAGTAAAATGTCGAGTGAGAAGACTGATGTGGTGCACAAGCATTATGACACCATCGATCGCATTGATCGCATTGTGACCAAGTTAAATGAGCGCCACAGGGTTTTACACAAAACGGGATATCACATATATCTTCGTTATCAACGTTAGTTCGCATACGATGTACAATTCTAATGTCTACAGCATTGATATTTACATTATTTATGACAGCCTCCGCAAACATTAATGTAAAAATGCACAAACTGTTTCCATAAAGTTGTTGAGGGGCATTAAACGCAACTTTATTCCAAACTCCAAGTTTGTTAGTAACAGAACATCGTGATGCCATATAAGCTTCAGACTGTTATCGCCATAAAGAGAATCAGCAATTCCAACTGTTTTATCAAGAGTATTGGTAATTAGAAGTATCCAGTGGGTGTTGTTAACGTGGAGAGGTAAAAGAACCCATTTGTACTTACATAAACGGACTTTGGTATATAGCCAACCCTGAAGGTTTTTCTTGTGCCATCGCAGAGCCAAAAAAGAAGGAAGGACATAAACTAGGTTACCCTTTTAGGCCTTAATTAGGTCCATTAGCAGGTTAAGGTAAGCATGGATTACAGTATCATTTAACCATTTATTTGAATTTAGAGTTACTAAATCTTCCCTGTTAACCGTACAACTACTAATAACAAACTTGTCTTCAGATGACAGACTAACAACTCGTGCTTCAGCATCTTCGTATTCCAAAGAACTAAATTTTTCAATAATTGCGTTGTATTCCTCGTAATTTTTGGAGACTATTTCTTTATTTTTATTTTTGTCGTTGTCGCTTTTGGCATCAGGAGCAGCATTAACATTACAATCTCCAACGTTTCTTTCTCCCCAACCATTGTTTGGCAATACGCTTATTTCAACGTAGTTGGGTTAAGTTGCGGTATGCGGTAGTGGTTTAGTGGTAGAGCGCTCGCTTCATAAACGAGTGGTTCCGAGTTCGATCCCCACCACGTCCCTGGTAGTACCGCGCTCAACTCGTTTCTCTGCGCAGCGGCCTTGCTCGTCAAGGTTCGTGTTTCGGAGTTATAGAGTTGAGAGAGGGTTATAACCACAAATAAGTAGTCTCCTCGTCTGTAGTGGCTTTCTCGGCCTTGAGGAGGTGAATTAAAATTAAAATTAAAAAAAAGTTTATTGACTTGTTCTCAGATATAACCGGCGCGCCAACTAAACGTTATATAAAATCCCATGCCGCCACATAATGGTATAAGTAATTATCTTGTCGTTTCTTAAGAATGCAATTAAAACTCTATGTTTTATGCTAAAATCCTACGTTCCCACATAATGGCATAAGTAATTATCTTGTCGCTTCTTAAGAATGCAATTAAAACTGTACTAATAAGATTCTATGGTAATTTATCTATAGACACCCTGTTTTAGGTATCTGGCCGGGCCGGGTTTTAGGCACAACCAAATCTTTTTAATTAAATAGCTGAATTTTAAATTTAATGCCAGAAAAACATTAAATTTAAAACTGCTATTTCTGCAAATTGAATGTAATTTATCACATTTTTCAAAAAAATTATCATTTTAATAAGCTGCTGCCAGTGTTAAAGTAACTTTTAATGCATAATTTAGACTTTTACCACAAGTGGTTATCCTAAAGAGGTACACAAAAGCAACAGAAAATTTGCACTGCTTGTCTGTAGGTATTGTAATTCACGACATAAAAGTTTCCAAAACTTTTCCTAACATTGAATTATTTAGTTTGAGGAAGAATAACTCAAATATTTTTCCGTCAGTCAAAAATAACTGCAAAAATGTATTATTTGGGTGAAAACTATAACTGCACAAATATTTAGCTGATCACCTTTTATTTACAAAGTTATGGTCTGTCAAAAATAAAAAAAATCTAACACATATTCAAGTTTTTCTCCAACATATTATTCCATATATTCAAATTTTTCCGATTTTGTTCAATATCAATCAAAAGTGGTACTCTGGGGTACTTTCAAAAAACTAAGTGATTTTATATAGAATAATCAATATATCCATATATACACCCACATCACTAATATTAGGTATTTGACAATTTTTTTTTTTAATGTTAACTCACCTTCTCAAGGCTGAGAAGGCCACTACAGTTGAGGAGGCTACTATAATTGTGGTTACAACGTTTTCTCAACTCTATAACTCCAAAACATGAACCTTGACGAACAACCCCGCTTTGTGGAGAAACAAGTTAAGCTGGTACTACCAGGGACATGGTTGAGGTCGAACTCTGAATTTCTTACTTATAAAGCAAGCGCTCTACTACTACACCACTACCGCAATTTTATTTGAAATTGCAAAAGTTATTTTTGATACTAGGGTGTATCATTCCACTATCACCTCACCCACCTCCATCATTAATATACACCTTTTATATACTTTGGTGGTTTAATATGAATTTATAACAACTTTTTTGTATATTTAAATTACTTATGTCTTGAAAAAATACTTTTTCCTAAAAAAAATGTTCAATTTCTTATGGTAAAGGTGGTGGTTTGTTGCCCCTTCTATCCCCTTTGATACAACCAATGGTTTGTGGCCAACATAAATTTGTAGCCTACTTTTACACATATCTTTTGATATCAAGATATTTGTATTTCAATAAGAATTGAAAAAGTTTTGACTATTTAAGCTAATAAAAAATTAATTTTGACCACAGTTTTTTCAACAAATCCATGTATCGAAAAATTGGTACTTAAACTGTCAAAACTTTTTTTGATAATTTTTTCAATATACTGTATTGATCCTCTTTTCAATGATATATAACAGTATAATATTTAAACAATTTGAAATTTTTACTTAAGTACCTAACTATATCAAATTTATCATAAATATTAGACCTAGATTAAAAAATAAATTTCCACATATGGGCCGAGAATGAAGCTAAAGATCTTTCTTATTATTTTTTTCACATATACATATTATTGTGTGTGCAAATGCATTATCTACAATTATTTACAACATCCTCTATATCTAGAATTATCTACAACATCCTCTATATTATTCAAAATCTTTTTTTTTTTTATCAGCATTTTTTATATATCCTACTAGGCCATCATCAAGTATGATATGGATACCTTGGGTTGAGTGGGTAAAAGTCCATTCAATTTTCTACCATAGCTTTCTAGGTAAAAAGAAGAATGTTGGTCACTCTAATTTACAGATTGTTTTTACAAGAAACATCTATATAAGAATTGTGTAGCTGAAAAATGAAGGAAAAAAAAACATTGCAACGTCCTCCATAGTTATTATTATTATTCAACAAACCAAACAAGTGTAAACTAATTTTTATTGTTGTTGCCTAACCTTTTTTCAGGTTGCCAAAAATTGCGTATCTTACTTTAAAAAACAATATAAATAAAAAATAATTTACACCTTTGCTCGAAATACAACAAATCCTTCTTGAAATTTTTTTATTGTCTGTAATCTCTTTTGTGGGTTGCTTTTATCTAAAACCAATAATTTATTGTCAATATATTTAATACATCATTTCTTGTATATGTTCAATTTTGAATATGTGAATTTAGTTGTAATGTATATACATTACAACTAAATTCACACTTATTATCAAGAAAAAATGTTTTATTCAAAACTTACCCATTTTATTTGTTTTATATAGATCCTACTTTAAAACTGACCATATTGTAATGATCAAATATTTTTATTAACACTAAAACTTAAAAAAAAATCGTAATTTAAAAAATTTATAATAATAAATAATAATAATAACAATAATAATAATTGTAAAATTATTATTATTGTTATATAATAATAACAATAATATAAATTGCAAAATTATTATTACTGTTATTATTATGGTAGTTGTTGTTATAATTATTATCATCATCGTTATAACTTCAACATTTAAAAAATAATTTCAACATTTAAAAAATAATTGCCTTTTCTTGAGTGGTTTACGCGTTAATTTTTTATTTAGTAATGTTACTTTTTAAATCGATACACTTTTATTACTCACAATAAACAAATATAGATTTTGCCTACTCGAATTTTTAACTAAGTACTTTTTGCGTCATTTGTCTGCAACAACAAGAATTTTACCAAGGTGTCTTCAGAGAAAATATAAATAAACGCTAGTTAATTTAATTTATGCCTTTTGATTAAAGGCATAAATAGAAACTAAACTAAATTTTAATTTTAAGACATTACTTACAAGTGTGAATTAAAATCGTATTATTTTTCAAATAATCGTTACGTTTATAAATTGCTAGTAACCAAAGTTAATTAAAAATTATTTACTTTAAACGTATCTAATTAGATATAATTGATTCTAAACTGTTAAGTATACGAAAAGCGGCTTAATAATGTTGGAATCAATTAAGAAAATACAATGCAGGTAAGTTAAATTATAAATTATTTATGAAATGAATTGAAACCTTTTAATTTTTACACAATTAATGAAAAACAAAGTTTCTAATATTCAATGAATATAAAATATTTTGTTAGACTAAATTAATAATATAAACACAACGGGAGAGATTTAATGGAATGTGGATTGATTTATTTACAGTACAATGTTATTTGTACTGTAATAATGAGGTTTTCACTAAGCAAAATGCCTGCAAACATACTAAAGATATTTTATCATCATAAAAAAAAACAACATTAAAAACATCAATTAAAAATAAAATAAAAATCGTTAAAATTTTTCAATGTTTAATAAAAATTTTAAAAAAGACTTTGGTGGCGAACATAAAACATAGGGCTATTTAAAAGGAGGGTGTCTAGAATACTGCTTCCTCAAAAGTGCGATTGTTGTAAGTGCGAACTGGCAAGTGCAAACTTGCTTAAGTGCGAATCTTCAAAAATGTAATCTGACATAAGTGCACCTAAAGAATTTGAACTGGTATAAGAGCACATCTACATAAATTACTGCAAACACTGGCCCGAGCGCAAAGCAATTGCAATAACTTGAATAAACAATTTGACATTCGACAATCTAGAATAAGTGGCAATCTAGAATAAGTGCGTCAAATGGCTTTAACTTTTTTCTTTGTTAAAAAAATAAAAATATAATCTCTCTAACCAAAATCCAGCAGTAAATTTTTTTTTTAATTAAATTCTTTAATAACAGTTGTAGTTGTAAAAGTATATACTTTACTTTTTCATAAAAGTTTGTAGTTTGTACTTATGAAGTACAAACTACAAACTTTTATGAAAAAGTAAAGTATATACTTGTAATGCAAGTTCGCATAATTGCAATTTAGCCTAGGTTTGTAAATTTTTGCAGCAAATTTATGCCGATTAATTTCGCTCTTTTTTATTAGTTATTCGAAAATCTAACAATCTTTCACAGAGCACCGCGGAAGAGTGTTTAACCAGGAAGCTCACGCCTTTTCCCCTACCATTATTGCTTATATGGACGAAACCCGCATCTAACCTCGAACCTCTTCTGAGCCAGAACTTTAACCACTGCACTGCGGCCCCTGCAAATTTTCATTTAGCCAAGCTTTGGCAACTGCATTGCACTTATAAATACTCACACATATACAAATTGTTTGCAAATTTTTATCCCAGTTTGCACCTATGCAGACTTGCATTTACGAAATCTAAGCTGAGTTAACCATTCGGTTTTTAGGACTAAAATTGTGTGATGTAAACTATGTTTATATGGTGTCGTTTTATTAATTACTTCACGCTTTAGGGGGTTTTATAAATGACAAACGGACATCAAACTATATACTATTGATAAATTTTCAATTTCAAAATTGTTAAAAATATATATTTAAAAAAAGCAAGTAATGTTTAGTTTACAAATCACCAGTCTACAATTTACTATATCAACTAACAATTGGCTATGTACTAAATCATTTAACTCGCGCGACACGCAACCTCGCCTCGCTCCCTTTCTCCCGAACCCCACCCCCACCCCTCCCATCCATCCTTCTGTAGTTACCTTTTTACAATCTGCATCAACTAAAGACTGACTAAATACTTAATCCGCTGACGACGACATCGTTTTAGCAGTTCAACATTTATTTGTTAAAAAATAAATTTCATTTTAACAATTATCTGTCCAAACTGAACGTCGAAAATCTATTTAAAAACTTAGACCCCGATGTAAGATTTTTTTGAAATCTTTTTGTCGAAAAACCGCCAAGTACCGTGGTCAATCCAATGACTTTTGTTGCTAATCAAAAAGAAAGTGCTTTGGTTTCTCAACCATAACTTCAAATAGAAAATTATTTTCCTGGTTAATGAGTTAAAAATCTTAAAATCTTGTGAAAAAAAGTACGAAAAAAAAAAACTCGAGTTTTAATGCATTTTTTTGAGCACAGTCTAGAAATCGATAAAAAAAAAAAAAAAAAAAAGTTCAAAAAGAGCCTCCATAAACAGAAAAGATAACTCTCAGTAACTCTCAGCAAGTCAGTTCTATGAGTCTTTGGGATTAGGAGTAATATTTTAATGTCAAATGGTTTTCTTTCCAACAAAATACAATATGACCTCCTGAGTAACTTTGTATTTAAATGAGAGCTGATAATTATGTTATGACTGAGTTCTTGGTCACCACTTTATATATTTGATATTATTAATTTTCTAGAACACATTAGTAGTAAAAGAAATTTGACAAGAAAATTTGTTAAGACTTCATAAAACAAACTTAGTAAAACTACATTTACTTGTTAAAGTAATGTATTATTTTACAAGTAAAAGTGAATTTTAAATATAAGTTATATAAAAGAGACTATATCGTAAAAATAATTTACTTTTACATTTAAAAAATATTTACTTTTTTTTAACTTACTTTTACATGTAAAAGTTATTTACTTTTATTAAATTATGTTACACAGTGTCACTTTACTTATACATTTAAAAAGATGATTTTTAAATTAAAAAAAAAATGAAACTACCTTTTTTAGTGAATAAAACTTACATGTTAAAATAAACTAAACAATATACAATAAGCAAAAAAAATTTTAAATCAAATAAATGTTTCAAAAAAGATTCGTTTCATTTTACATGTGAAATCAAATGGTTATTAAAAGTAAATAATATAAGATTAGTTTACATTACGTAATGTAAAATTACGTAATGTAAAATTACGTAATGTAAACTAACTTAAACCTTAACATAAGTAACTTAAGGATACAATTGCACGTATTTTATATTTACAAGATAAGAAAATAAAGAAAGAATATTGTATAGCAAAGTAAAGTGCAGTAAAAAAATTTGCAGTAAAGCTAAGTCCATTTAAATTTGGCCACAAAAGTTTTGGGCGGGTTTTTTTCGATGTACGGCTTAAAAATATCAATATTCGCCCCAGACTCATGACTATTTTGACAGTTAAAACCATCCCTGTTAAATCAACCATGCAGGTCTTTTAGCATACTTGTTTTGAAAATCATTTTTAGCGCCAAATCATCTCAAAAATATTTTATCTTTAATTAGGTTTTTAACAAGTCTTATGATGGCACAATTGTTTTTAGGAAACTTTAACTGACGAAAGGTATAAAATTCAGATAGAGCTTAAACATAGATGAGACCAGGATTAGTTTCCAAAGTTTTTGGAAACTAAATCTTTTTTTGTAATAGATTTTTTATATAAATGTATTTTATTTAAGTGTCGTCTAAACTTATTAAAAACTAGTTTTTAATAAGTTAACCACTTTTATTATCCTTTATAACCCAATTCCTTTAACTGTCGCTACTTAGTTAACTAAGTAGCGACAGTTAAAGGAATTGGGTTATAAAGGATAATAAAAGTGGATTCCAAAAATTTATTCAAATAACTTTTTCACGCATATTTTGTAGTATTCAAATTATTTTATTACATCGAAACGAAATATTACATCAAAACTACGAAAACATCATTATGTTATTGCATTTTCATAAAAATTACCTATTCCTTCTAATAAATAATTGATAAATGCATTACATGTATTAAAAATAAACAACTTAAATTTTTATTATACCATAATGATATAATTGGATGTACAAATAAAAACTTCAATAGTTTATTTTAAAATAACTAATGTTAAACATATACATATATATATATATATATATATATATATATATATATATATATATATATATATATATATATATATATATATATATATATATATATATATATATATATATATATATATATATATATATATATATATATATTATGAGTAAGTTTTTAAAAGGTTGCAAAATAATATACATCAAAGTCGCTATAATATACACTAAGTCGCAAAAATAATATAAACAAAGCTTAGTAAATATATACACAAAGCTACCCCACATCCTCTATTGGAGGGAGGGGGGGCAGCAAATGAATTTTATTTCAAAATTGAACAAAAAGAATTTAAACACGGTGTAAATGACTTCAACAATTCAATAAATATTTTTAATTTTTTTAAACTGTTTTTAAAAATGTTTTTTTTTTTTTCAAAGCTATCAACTCGGGTGAATAAAAAAAAACAATTGCTTTTACTCAGCGTTTTTAGGGTAATTGCTCAGCTCTACATGAATAAAAATTTCAACAAAATTGCTCATATTTTTATTATCGTAAAGCTGAGCAATTACTCTAAAAATGCTGAGTAAAAGCAATTTTTTATTCAATTTATTGTTTTTAAGTTTTTTTACAACAATTATTATATATTTCAAGAACAAGTATTTACATGACTCCAGTTTATATAAATGTCCACCACACATATTTGCAATATCTAAAGAGCGTTAACAATGCTGTTTCACGCTTGGCGTATTACAGTGGGTTAGAAATGT